GCCCGCTGGCTTTCGCCGCCGGGGCGCCGAGGGACGGGGCGGCCTGAGAGGCGCGGGCGGAGGGAAGGCGCGGGGCCGGCGGGTGGATGGCGAAGGGCGCGGCTCGTTCCTCGGCGGGACGTGGGGAGGTGCCCACGGCCCCGGCTCCGAGGCCTCAGGCCGGGGCCCCGCCGGCAGGGCCGCTCCCGGGGGGGCGAAGGGGGTTTGGGCTTGCTGTCGTGGGCCTGAGGCGACGGGACCCACGCCAGAAAGCGCCCGCGGGGCGAGGAGCTTCTGGCTTCTGCCCGCAGCAGGGGAGCTGAGCTCCCCCGGAGGAAGGCACCGTCTCTCTCTTTGTTAGCCGTAAACAAGTGAAAAATAATTCGTTTCTTTAGTGACACCCTAAGGAGACTGAAGGGAAGTCGTTAGGCAAGTCCTCAGCTTGATCAGTCAAAATTAAATCGACTGCAGGCACTTCTGCAGTAGTGCTGAAGGGCTGTGACGAAGGCAAATGAGAATAAAGATTCCTTAGATGCTTAAACTCGGCGTTTCCCTGTTTTACAGGTTTGGGCTTAAGCGTACTGCCCTTGAAAGGGTAAAGTCGCTTTCAGGAAATAACATCCCTGTAATATTTCATACCAGGTTATCAAGGGCGTATCTTCCCACCAACTTATCTTTGGCCCAGCACAGCTTTGCCCATACCTAGCATTTATCCAGATCACAGGCGACGTTTGGTGCTGCATCTCTTTGCACCAACGGACAGTGCAAAACCGTCCAGGACAAAGAAACTTCCAGGACAAAGGTCACAGCTTGCGCTTCCAGGTTTGCCCTGCCGTCAGTGGCAGTTGTGTGCACGCTCGTGCAATGCGCTGGTATTTGCTGGGTTTAATACTTTATGTAAGGGACAACGTTAGAGAAGCCACGATTCACGTGCTTAGTGGACACCATGCCCTGTCCTTGCAGCAAAGGTAGGAGAGTCAGAGCGGACCTAAGTAAATAAGCTAAGCGCAATAAATGTTGAATATAGAAACATTACAATTACTCGATGAATAGGAAAATGTAAAGAAAAACTTTCTTCTTTAATGAAGTTGCTTTACTTGTAGTTTAAAGGGTTTTACTTCCTTCGCTTCTTAAGGAAGTCTGTACCAAGTCTTGAATCAGCATGAAATGAATGGGAGTGCTGGTAAATGAATAACTTTAAGTAGAGCTATAAAATGAATGAGTTTTATTTCTCTGGTTCAGGAAGTTATTTTAGAAAGAAAGACTACATGTAAGAAACAAGATGTCTCATGCCGGGAGACGATACCAAGATAAGCAATATGGGCACCATGAGAACCATGGATCTGATAGATACGAGGAAGACAGAAGAGCGAGAAAACCATACCCGTACAATGCAAGGTATGTCTTTATCACCTTAAGGAAACATATCACAGCAGGTCTATAATGTCTGTCATCTTTGTTTGCTGTTAAATACCTCCATATTACAATAGTGAAGAAATCATTTACTCAGCCTTGAAATAGTCAAGCATGCCACATTTGGAATCAGGGAGCTATTTTACAGTTAGAAATTTAATGTTTTTCTTTGTATTGAGCTCAAGAGGGGGCAGAAACATAGGCTGCGTGACACTGGCAGAGGTGTGAATTTCCTGGGGTTGTCTGGATCAAGCTGGGTCACAAGTAGGTGAAGTGTGGCCATGTGTCTTAGTACAGTCCCTGAAGAGGCTGGTCAGCAGGTGACAGCAAGCCATGGCTTGCCAAATATGCATTGCTTAAATGAGAATGTTATGTGACTGAGACCAGCATAGGGACTTACTGAACTCTCAAGTTGCTCTAGTTCAGCTGTGAACGAGTTCATATTAATCTAAACCAAAATTAATTTCAGTAGTCGCAGTCAATAAATGAGTACTTGTTTACGTGTCTAAGGCTGTTTGCGGCTCTTGATAGTGGGTCAGCCCCCATCAGCACAATAAGCAGATCAACTAATAGGTTTGGAGTGACAAATTAACTCTTAGGATATTACAAGTCTCCTTCCAGCCTGGCCAGCCTACAGCATATTAGATGCAAGCTTAGGCTGTTTTCCTTTAAGGGCATGCCAGTGACTGCATTGTAGGAGAGAGGTCTGTAGTTCTAAACACCACTGGCAAATTGGCCATGGCAGTGAAGTGTTCGTCACTCCTATTTAGTCTCTGAGGGTATGATTGTAGGGCAATTTAAGAATAGAGGCAAAGAGGGAGAAGAGATGAATAGAACTAAGATTGTTGAAAAGCTGAATTACTGAAGTACTCCCTGATAATATGCATTTTAGCAAGAAAAACAGGATGAGAATAAAAGCAGCAAAGAGCACTGTGTGGACCGAAGGAGTACTTATGGCTAAGTATAAAAATTTGGATGGTGGTAATCCTATTGCATTATGAAAATAGCTAATGAATTTTTCCTCTGTCTCTCTTAAATCATGAAAAATTGGAGAGAAATGGGAACAAAGTTCGGCCTAATAATCAGAGGCTGAATGACTGTCCTTAGCAAAAGCAGAAATCAGAAAGGGATGTAGTTAAATTATCTTGAACATATTAGAAGTGAGAGCAGCAAATGCCAGGAATGTATTAATTGCACTGTGGAGAGTTAAAAAAAAAAAGGGTTGGGATTTTGGTTTTTTTGTGTGTTTTTTTTTTTTAATATATATATATAGCATAATATAAGCAATGTGTGAACAGATAGCTATAAATTAAACCACCATTTCTTAATAAAGCACTTCACTGGACATCTTGTTTTTGCTATTAGTTTTAAATGACTGGACATAGAGACTGAAAATTGGTGGATGGACTGTAAGGGCTAACAGACTGTCCCTGTATCCACTGGGGGTTAGAGGAAGGGAAGCTGCAGCTACAGATCTGTAATAGCTATGGAGATAATTCTTAGAGTCAAGCTGAGAATCTGGGGGGCGCCAGACCTCACTACAACTAATCAAAAAACTTTTCCATCAGTTGTTTTGATGGAGTTTGGCTTAACCTAACAGCATTTCCCCTGCTTAGCTGTTGTGGTTTAACCCCAGCCAGCAACTAAGCACCACGCAGCCGCTCACTCACTCCCCCCCATCCAGTGGGATGGGGGAGAAAATCGGGAAAAGAAGTAAAACTCCTGGGTTGAGATAAGAACGATTTAATAGAACAGAAAAGAAGAAACTAATAATGATAATGATAACACTAATAAAATGACAACAGTAGTAATAAAAGGATTGGAATGTACAAATGATGCGCAGGGCAATTGCTCACCGCCCACCGACCGACACCCAGCCAGTCCCCGAGCGGCGAATCCCTGCCCCCCCACTTCCCAGTTCCTAAACTAGATGGGACGTCCCATGGTATGGAATACACTGTTGGCCAGTTTGGGTCAGGTGCCCTGGCTGGGCATGAGAAGCTGAAAAATCCTTGACTATAGCCTAAACACTACTGAGCAACAACTGAAAACATCAGTGTTATCAACATTCTTCACATACTGAACTCAAAACATAGCACTGTACCAGCTACTAGGAAGACAGTTAACTACATCCCAGCTGAAACCAGGACATTAGCTCTCACAACAAAACCAGCTGCTTTTGTAAGGAAATGTCAGTATTTTGGTGAAGTCTTATGCTGATTGACCAACAGATCTCCAGATACTATAATGAAATAGATAGGAAGAGTTTTGTGGAAGCCATTAATTTGGGTGCCTAATGCTTTCATCCCTTAGGAGCAAGACTTTCTAGCCAGAGTATTTCTCTTTCCAAATGCATTTCTGTCTGAAACTCCTATAGCAAGGTTCCTCTCATTGCTGACGAGAAAGAGTTGCATTACCCAGAACTGGAAAGTCCTGAAGAAAAACAGGAGCAAAGGTGGCCAGAATAGGCCATTGTGAGAAAAAAAGCATCTAAAAGAAAGATATTTTTTTTTCCTAATTGTACTGTGTTGCTAAACATTAGGGGGTTTTTATTTGTTTTGTTTTGTTTTCTGGCAAGTAGCAGGATACAATAGAGAGAAGCAGCTGCATCAGAAGTACCAAAGGGATTGCTTTCAAGTTAACTGGAAGTCTTATAAATCACAGAGCTTATTTAATTTATGTGACACAGCTGCGCAGGATGCTTTGGTGGTTGCACAAGACACGGGACAGAGGTCAGAAAAATCAGAAATCTTTCGGCCAAATAGAGCTGTTGGCAACAGCATGCGGAGATGTTAGCATTGGTCTTGTTATTGAATGTCTTAATTAAAATGTAGAAACTACAAAGAACATGATTTAATGTGGATGAATGAGATAATACTTGTAAGTTGAATCTGGAATTGGATGAAGATAAACCTTATTGAAGTGCAGTGATACTAGGAAACAAAACTACAGTTGAAAATGCTGATCAGTGGATAAGAAATTCAAGATAAAAACTGAACAGGAAGATGACTTTTAAAAATAGTAATGCTGAATGAGACTTAAAATACCCTCTAATAACAAAATCATCCAGCTGTACCTTGAAAAAGACAAGCTCCAATTCTCCTTCAAATGAGGGAGAACATTTAGATCAGACCAGACACTTACAAAACAATTTACAGCCAATGTTTCTTTTAACCTGAGTGTTAACTCAGTTTAAAAAGGGAAAACTGCACTTTTCCCATAGAATAATCTAAATCTCACCAACCTTAAAAATCATCAGGCTTCAGATGTGGAGCTGTATGTCATTGCAGCAAAGTGGACAATTCCATTTTGAAGTATACGAATGAAGAGTCTGATTGGAGACACAAGAAACTGATTTTTTGGGGTCGATTTTAGATTCCTTTTCAAATATCATCAAAGACCTCAAAAAACAAAAAGAGAAATATTTATATAGGAATTTTTTTTCCCCACTTTAAAGTCTTTATCTGTTTCTTTTAACAGCTTTCGTTCTTTTAAAAGGCATCTTTGTGAGACACGGTAATTAGAAGTATAAACTTGACAAAACGCTTACCCGTGAAATAGTTGTGCTACTTTACACATTTATTGTGTGAAAATAATTATAATTTTTATTCTCTGGGCTGCTGTGGCCTAGCTAAAAATGTTTGGTTTTCATGAAAAAGCTGTTACTTGTTTTTATGGGAACAGGAACTCTCCCCACACCCTCCTCCTTGCTACCTTTTGCAAGTACCATGAACTATTCAGCCAGCCTACTCAGTGAGTGCACAGTTTTCCAAAATAAGAACGATCAAGTGCAAATATCCTTGTGAATACAGATTTATTTGGGATATTTGCTTTCAAAACACGCAAGCAAAAAAGATGAGATACCTATGAGTAAACTAGCGTCTGCCAGTTTCTCATGTCCTAATGTTCAGGAGAGAGCAGGATTGAATTAATATACATTAGTCGTTTACTCTATTGTAGATCAACAGAAGACGTCCGAGGTGGCCAGCACTCAAGGACTTCTACTGATTGCTTAGACCCTTACTCTAAAACCTCAGGAGCAGCACGGGAATATTTTGGCCCACCACCAGCGTGTTATCCTCCCAAGGAAACCTTCTCGATGAAGTGTTCAAAGGTATGCACAACAAGAGGTATGTGAGATTCTTATTGCCTGCCATCCGCCCATCCACCTTCTGTGTTTAGAAGCACAACAAAGTGAAGCTAGAGGAATATTAAAAAAAAAAACAAACAACCAAACAAACTGGGAGAGTTAATGAATGGCATAACTGTGGGTAACTAGCACATTTTAGGCATCTAAAAGCAAGATATACAGAGATATTGAGATACTTGAAAATGCATCACCAGAGTATGCATCCATAGCATCAGAGTGGGTCATGTGTATAATCGCCCAGGTTGTGCAGCAGGAGTTAACCTTTGGGATTTAGGAGTAAAATAGGTATTTGCATCTGTAGGCAATTTAAAGATGGCTGTTGAAGATTTGATGCTTGTTTACTTCTGACACATTCTTCTCAGGCTTGTTATCAACTCTGGATTTAATCCAGTCATCACTGATACATCTTTATAAAGCAACATTGCGGGAGACAAAACTATTTTACGGACATGAATCCAATAAAACAGCTCTTGAGAAGTACTTGGTTTTTTTCATAGCTAGAAAGTGACTACAAGAAGCAGAGAAATGCGCACTAACGTGGGAAGAAATCAGCCTTAATACTTAGTAAACTTGTTCCCATAAACTGAAAAAAAAAAAGTCGCTGAAATACCCATTACTCCCTTTAAAGTTTTTCCTCTTCCAGGACAATGAGCATTCTCACCTAGTTTGTAGGAAAGGTCAACTGCAGTCTGAGTTGAAACTTGCAGTTAGGTGCAAAGTCTTTGACCGAAGTCTATAAACAGCCTTTCAGTGTCCTCCAGCAGCGAGACAAATGAAGAGTTTAGTTGTTGGAAGTAAATTAAAATACATAATGTTAGATTATTTCTTCAATCCGTGAAAGAAAGTTAAATAACACACTCAGTTTACTCTTAGTATTTCTCTGTATGTGAATATGTGAACAATTTTAAGAGTGAGCTGAACTATCTTCTCTTATAAATATGTTCTGTGTATTTGTATGCAGTTTGTTTTTCATCTCGAGGAGATTTAACTCTAACAGTTAGCAGAGCATATTTAATGATACAGAGTCATACTGATATTTTATCCACGATAAAATTGTATCAGCAATTTCTTCTTCAACAATACTAAATTATTTTAATTTGTCTGAGAAGCTCTAGAAAACTCCATGCCTTATTTTATCACAGCTTTAGAAAAATGAAGTGGCAAGTTATTTTTAGTTTTCAGTTTCACTGGTTGTTTAGACTTATGGATAGCTTACTGTGACTTGCTGTTTTTTTTTTTTTTCCCTGCATTTGCTTCTCATTATTTCAGTGCATTAAACATCATTAACATTTTCAAAATGTCCTAGTTCTGGATGCATCAGTTGACAATGATGATTTCAATCCCACCCCTCCTCCATGTATTGCTCAGTGTTTTCCAAAAATTTCATGTCTGAGCTTGCAGTGGAGGAGGGAAAAGAGATCATGTAGAAAATAAACCCTTTTATTAGCAGCTTTATTTCAAAAAATGAAAAGATATTGGAAGTTGATAAGATTAGGACAATGTTACTCCCCTGTTTAATTTTTTAAAGTACCAAGATTTAGCAAAATTTCCTACAATTGTTTTGCAGAATTCTGTATTCCCTGCAGTCATAGTAAATGTTATAAATGAAAAGCAACATGGATTGTTTTCTAAGAAGCTAGTACATGTGAGCTACAACTTCTTACAGCATGAAAAAAGTTCCCATGAATACTTCTTAACCATCTCTTTCTTTTGCCAATGATTTATCAGCACTCTGGTGAAATTCCCCCTTCCCAATAACCATAATTCTAAAATAGGCTAGTATCAAACAAGGCCAGGAAATCAAGTGATGTACCACCGTCTTTTGCAAAGCAACAACTGAAACGTGAACCTTAGTTTCTGACTGTGCATCCCTCTGCTTTCACTATGGTTTTTGGTGTTTTTTTTTTCCTTTTTCTTTTGCCAAGCAAATATACTTACGATCTTTGTGCATGTTGACCGGTTTGGCAAACTAGAGAGGAATTCTAAACAACCAGAGCTCTGAAAAGTATTTGCTTCACCCAGATACTGCCCTCTTCATCCATGCTTTTCACCAGCAATATCCCGAAAAGCTAAAGCTGAGTTTCAGGAACAGGCAGTTATTTTTTCAGGGATGCTTCAAACACCTTAGCTGCAAGCAGCAGCAGAAAAAAGGATATCCTTTTCCTATCTTTGTAATTTCCACCTTCCTTCCCTAATCTGCACCCCCTTGTTTTTTTCCTACAACCACCTTAAGAAAATAAACCCAACCCAAATATAATGGAAGAAACAATTGATACTGACCCCTTTTGCTGGTAGGATCATTTGATACCATCTAAGAAACTTCAAAACATTCTGCTCCTTTTTTATCCTTTCATCTTGAAAACAGGAGGAAAAAAGTCTGTTAAAATGTTATATGAGCAATACCTATTCAAAGCCATTCAGGTAGGATCATGTGGCTAGCCGTACTGGATCATACAAGGTACCTAATTGCGCATCCTCTCAAACAATGTACTAGAGTGCAAATTTAGGAAGACCGTCAGAGTTTGGACCAGTAGAGAGTGAGCTGTCCTCTGGAATACTCTCCAAACTTCTGATTGGTAGAATTTTCTGAACTGGAAAACTGCATTCACTTCTGTTATGTTTGATACCTTTTAACAGACCTATCAAATTTGATTAATCCTTTTCTGAATCCCCTTTTGAATGTTTGGCCTCCATGTTACCTTATGACAAGGAGTTCCACAGTTTCTTTGTGCCACTTGAAGAGGTACTGTTTTGTTCCTTAAAACATTTTAAAGAAGTTGTCTCTGATTCTGGTGGTATTCAAAATACCTAATGGTAATCTCATATATGTACCTTCTTCATGAGATTTATGATTTTGGAGTGAAGTCTTCCCTTCCTCCCTGTCACTGTGCTCCTATTGCTTCTTCATAGATTGAAGAATAATCAGTTCTATCCCTATCAAGAGCGAAGTCTTTCCGGTTCTGATTAGCTTGCCAGCCTTATACCTTTTCCAGATCCTTTGCACCCTTTTGAGATGGGCTGACCAGAACTGCACTCACAATTCAAGATAAATTCCCAAAAGAATCAGACATCTGCATAAAGGTTCTGGTTCTGTAGTTGTATCCTAATGCTTCCTAGCTTTTTGCGTGGCGTTTGACTATCAGTGAACCGATAAAAAAACTGGTGTCTTTCCTGAGTGGAAGTGATTTGTTCAGAGCCCATCTGTGTGCTCTGTAGATGGGGTGGGGGTGGTGTGTTTGTGTATGTACATGAAGTGTGAGGTTGATTATTAAACACTGATTTCATTAATTTCTCATTCAAAAGCTTGAGCTCTCAGCAACCTACCAATTTTACAGTTGGCAATCATGAAGAATTTTTTTGTGATTATTATTAAAACAGACTTCACCATCTCACTTTTCAGTCTTTTCAATTTCTTAGTCTGTGCATCTACCATAGTTTTTTGGTGTGTACTTTTGAGCTGAAGTTCTTTGGAGTCCCCACTTACAGCTCTTTGGGCCATGTTGCAGAGCAGTCTCAGGATGCACAAACTATATTTCCTTTGGATAAAACTAAACGAGAGGGTGAGCTCTAACTACTAGCCGGTACTCTGTCCTTTGAACCAAACTAGAGCTAAAATGAAGTACTTATCTCTCCCCAGAAAAATGCATATCATGTAGCCCCTAGGTCTTCAGCTCCAACTGTTTGATTCTACAGACCCACTCCCATTGCACTGCTAACACGGGCATAACTAGTGACAGGCAGCACAAAACAGAGGTTTCTCTCTTAACTCTATTTCTTTGAAAAACTAGTTGTTTCCTCTTACTCTTCATTTTCTTTTAACCACTACTAACCTGTGAGAGGATCTTTTATCCCACAGGAGCTTGTGTCATTTAAGAGCACTACCACTTGGATTGCCTGTCTTCATATATCTGCTCATTCTTTCAAATGACTTTCCTCTAACGAACTATTGACTCTTCCCTGCTATGCGATCTTTACGTCTAGTCTTTCTATGTTTTTTTTCATAGGGATGTCACACTTGTGGATCTGCAGATTACAGATTCAAAAGGCAACAGAAACACAGAAGTCTGCCACCTTCTGTTTCTGTAGTAGTGAAAGAGACTTGAGGAACAGCTTATAGACTGGTGTCAAGCTGTCTAGATGCTCTATATAATTATATGGGAATTGGACATAAACCGTTTGTGATAAAGACAAACCTTTCATCAGCTAAGGAACTACTGCTTGCAATAGCCATTTCTTACAACTTATGCACAATAGTGCGTGCCATTTAAAGCGGCGCACATTGAAAACAAGAGTTTTTGGCCTGGGGATACTTACAGATTAAATTCTTTCAGAAGAAAACATTCAACTTGCTTTTCACAGCAAAGGTAAAATTTCTGTAGTTCTCTCTTTTGTGTGGAAAAACGAAATCAGTAATCACACTTGCCTTTTAAAGGACACCCCCCCCCCCGGGTCCTTTGCAATTATAACCAGATTCCGTGCTTTTTGTTACCAGAGGGAATGAGAGACATGTTCAAGGCTGGCTGCCATGGCGCTTCCTTTACCTTAGAGAGAGCAAAATCTTGAACCCAAGAGTGAATTGCTGATCTTAAATTGGTCATAGATATTTGGTCACTTGACCTTGAAAATTTTCATTTTCTTTTTATTATGTATATTGGTGTGAAAGAGGTAGAACAATGCAATTCCAGGATAATGCTTCCTTTAGTTTTGCTTAAACAGTGAAGGCAAACTAAGTTTCTCCCATCTTCAGTCAGTATGTGATTCAGGAAACGCCTGCATTTTGCCTTGTATAGAATTGTACTGTGCTGGTCATAATTTCTGAGCTAGTCATTTTTTTTTTTTAATTCTTCAACCCACTTGGCATTTAAGGGAGACAGCACTAAAAAGGTTAGAAAACAGTTTGTGGGGGAGCAAGAATAATTGAATCCCTGTTCTTTGCTGCCATGAATACAGCTTTGCACCATGAATAGTGTCAGATTTCTT